TTACTAACCATTTGCCGAAAACCCGAACCACAGAGCCTAGTTTAACAAATCAGCAGACACACTATAAACTTTCTCAGAGTGACTGTAAACCTCCTGACCGTCACTTGATGGTCTCCCATCCAAGCACTAACAACCCCTGCTTGGCCTCTGAGAGGAAAAGTCAGATGAGATGGGGTGGGATGGGTATAGACCAAGTGATGTCAATACCCAAAGTGTGTGTAGTCTTTGTCTGAGTTACAGAACATGGAGGACATCTCAGAAGCTACTCCAAGAAGTCCAATTCTAAATTAGGTACCTCTCTGTGGTGGGGTTCAACCAGGACCTCACACACTAAGGGAATGTTTTACCACTAAGCTATGTCTTTGGGGTGCAAATTACGATGAGAAATCCTCAGTAATCAACTTGTCACTCATTCCTGCTTTTATGACTTGTCTTCCAGACAAGAAAGGCTTTTCTAAGATTTTTAAAAACTGCATATTATTGCATCTTGGTAAACAACTTTTCAACCATTGTGTAGTTGATCTGGATAAACTCAATCCTGAAAAAGAAACTCTATTATATCTTCTCTTTTTTTCTCTTATTGGAAATAGATTTTTTTCTCTTACATAATATATCCTAATTATGATTCCCCTCTCTCTACTACTCCCAGTTTCTCTCCACTTCCCCTCCCTTCTGGATCCACTCCCTTTTTGATTCTCATTAGAAAACAGACAGGCTTCAAAGGGATAATAGAAAACAAAACAAAATATAGTATGATAGGAAAAAACAAAAGCCATCACACCAGAATTGGACAAGACATTCAAAGCGAAGGAAGAGAGTCAAGAAATGGCTCAAAAATCAAATATTCACTCATTCACACACTTAGGAATCCCATGAAAACACTTAACTGGAAGCCATAATATATGTATAGAGAACCTGGTACAGACCTGGGCAGGCCCTATGCCTCCTACCTCAGTCTCTGTGAGTTCATGTGAGTTTTGATCAAATTGGTTTAGAGGGCCTTGTTTTCTTGGTATTCCCCATACCCTCTGGGTCATACATTCTTTCTTATTCCTCTTCCACAGGGTTCCCTGATCCCTGAGAGGATGGATTGATGGAGGCATCCTGTTTTAAGACTGATTATCCCAAAGTTTCTCACTCTCTGAATAATGTCTGGCTGTTGTCTATTTTTAAAAACACGTCCTTCTATTTTCTTTACATTTCATTTTTGAATTCTACTGACAAGATGTTGAATTTTCCAAAAACAATTCAGTGAATGTCTCAAAATTTTCTCTTCAAATGTCTATAATCTTTAGATTTTTGTCTGTTCGGTTGGTTGATCAGTTGTTTGATTATAGTTAGCTGGTGAGTTAGGCAACTGGTTGGTTGGTTAGTTGGTCATTTGTATGTCTAGTGGGTGGGTGGGTGGGTTTTGCTGCTTGAATTCCTCTTTTTCCTTCTGGTTTTTGATCTAATCTTTTGGAAATGTTATTGACTTAACCCTTCAAAGTCTACCACAGGTTGACCATTAGCTTTCATATTTGGTTTCTCTTTCACAGCAATACATTTCTTTACTATGGATACCATAGCTTCTCCCACATCTCTGAGAGTATTAACCGCAGAGCATCTCTACTTCCTCTCTGCTTCCTTCTTGTATTCTCGTAGTTCTTCTCAAACTTCCGGTGATCTCCTGCCCATTTGTCTAGACAATAACTAAAAAGCATGACTGGATGAAGTCAACTATAGGAATATGGTGCTGTGGATAGTGTGTGTGTACACAGATGAAACTTTCCAAATGTCATATCATGGTGGAAATCCCCCCACAAAGACAAGAGATGAAGAGCAGTAGGGGTATTCCACTATCAAAAGAAAACTCTTTGTACACCTTGCTTTCAGGATTCTCCTAGTGCTAGTCGTGAGGTGTGGATGGGAGGGCTTGCTGTCCACAACCCTACTTTTCTCTCTTATGCTTCCTCCCCAAGTTCAAGGTCACCTTATGTAAACATGGAGAGTTATCTCCAGTCCCTCCTCAGAGGAAGAACAGGAATGAGGTGCTCACCTCTCCTTTACGTGAGAAATGGAGATTTGAGAATCCCACAGTTTATTTCAACTGATTCTCCAACTTCCCTTCATCCTCTCACTACCATCTGAAACTCCTGGGTCTCCAAGTCAAAAGCTCCTGCTGGTGCTTCAGAATCACTTGGGTCTGTTCTCTCCTTTCTGAAACCCTCCCCTGTCCAGTTGGCTGTCCTTTTCATAGTCTTATTTTAGACTCCAAATATAATCATCAGGGACATTGTTTGCATGGTCTCTTCAACCCCTTTTCAGTTCTGTCTGACCTTAAACCCTTAATTGAGCAGTCCTCCCTTGATTCATCTAGTCTCCTGAGTTGCAGCACATGTTCTAAATGTCTTCTGAGAGGTTCTATTGATTTTACCCCCTTTGTGCCACCAAGTCTGTTAAAAACTAAATTAATTTTCCCTCTGTCTTCTTATGAATCTCATTTATGCTACTGTCTCCACCATGTTCTCAGTCACCTAGACTCGTATTAACACCAATGTCTGCCACTTCTTTGCACTTACTTCAGCTACTCTCAGTAAGTCCACTTACATGTCCACCTTCCTTTTCTTCCCTGACTCACACCGGCCTCTGTACTTAGCTAAGACGGTCCTGAAAACTGCTGGTCTTGTTAATGGAAAACTTTACACTATTTAAAATGTTATGCATGCTAAGAAAATGTAGCTATCTCTAAATTTCAAGTGGATTCTATCAAACACTGACCCAAAATCCATAGTTAGAACCTAAACATTCTAGGCACTAGCTAGAAAGTGAAAAGGAAGGGCTTGCCTGCCGTGTGGATGTCTGCCTGATTTTGTCTTCCACTCTTCATCTCTAGGTTTTTTCATTCACCTTTATAATTGCTCTTCATTTTTTCCTTTAAAGATTTCTTTTCAATTTTTGTGTGGTGTGTTACACGCATGTGTGTGGTGCATATACAAATTGTGGTGGTGATGGATATACCAGTGCAGTCTGTTAATATGCATGTGTGCAGTACATGTATGCATGTGAGATGGTATGTACATGTGGTGTGCATACCGCTGTATGCACATGTGGAGGCCATAAAAATGTGTAATCGGGCTTAGTCTATCAATCTTGATTTCATTTATTTCATTTAGAGTTTCATGCATGCATATAATGTGCATTGATTAAATCTACTTCCCGCTTTCCTCCCCTTCAATTCTTCCTCTAGCCTCTAGCCTCAACTTCGAGTGCTTTTTTGTTCAAATGCAGAGTACACTTAGTGATGCTTATATAGATCATGGGACAATCTACTGGAACATGGATTGCTTCTCCAGTGCTGCAGATCTGAGGAAAACTGACTCTCCCTAAAATTAAAAATGAAATGACAACAGATGCTCATGTGATTGTGAAGGAAAGGGGACCAATTGCTGCAATTGGTGCAGCACTATGCAGATAGATATGAAGAATCCTCAGGAAGTTAAATTTGGTCTCCCATACGACCTAGCTATGCCACTCTTTGTCATATACCAGAAGGACTCTGTACCCTGTTACAGACATACTTTCTGTGCTGTGTCCTTCGTTGCTCTGTTCATAATAGCCAGGAAACAGAAACTGCCTAGATGTTCTTCAACTGACAAATGGATGAAGAAAACATTGTATATATACACAGTGTAATATTCTTCAGCTGTAAAGAAAAGTGAATTGAGGTAGGATCTCTCCAGGAACTTGAAGTGTGTGGTCTTAGTCTGGCCAGCCAGTGGGCTCCCAGGGCCTGATCATCATCTGCTACCTCAAATGCTGGAGGTAAACTCACACATGGCCTTGTTCTGTTTTTAAGGGGATCCTAAGAATTTAAACTTGAATCCTTTGCCTTCACAGCAAATGCTAAGTCATCTCCCCACCCTTTCTTGACCTTTCTTATTTAAGATTTCTACTCTTCAATTCTCTATTAGCTGCAGAGATCAGAAACACAATATAGAAAAATCATAAAGATGATAAGATTCTATCTCCAAATAATTTAAAAACAATAATTTAAATTAAATAAAGAGATGGTTTTTGTCTTAAATTTTCCCAAATCATAGATTCAGTCAAATATATCTTTTGAAATTTATCTGTACTTCTGCATTGGGGAGACTGAGGTAGGAATTTTCACAAATTTGATGTCCACCTGGGCTATAGTGTGAGACCTTGTTTCATACAAAGCAGGGGGTGGGAAGTTCCCTTTAACAAAGACTGGTATGTGGACAGTGAAAGTTAAAACCTATAGCAGTATCTTCTATAATCATCATGACTATTTGTGACCAGGAGTTTTTATGATGCTAACAGGACAGTATTTTATTGAAATCTTACAACTACTCTAGAATGTTAGCTTTATTCCTGGGACTTGGAGGTCAAGAGAGTGACAATAAGCTTAAGCAACAAGCACAAGGCCCAGGGCTGTGGGATAATGCTCTTGTACACTGTAAATATTTGTCAGGCATATTAGTTTAATAAAACACTGATTGGCCAGTAGCAGGCAGGAAGTATAGCTGGGGTGACTCAACTAAGAGAATTCTGGGAAGAGGAAAGGTGGAGATGCAGTCACCAGTCACAAAGGAAGCAAGATGAGAATGCCTCACAGAGAAAAGGTACAAAGCCACATGGATAAACACAGACAAGAATTATGGGTTAATTTTAAGTTGTAAGAGTAAGTTAATAAGAATCCTGAACTAATAGGCCAACAAGTTTGTGATTAATATAAACCTCTGTGTGTTTCTTTGGGACTGAACGACTGCAGGACTGGGAAGGACAGAAACTTCTGGCTACAGCCCTGTAAGGAGTACAATGAGAAAAATGGAGTGAACTCAGTCCCTTGGAGCTTAAGCCTGGGGTGGTTGTACTCCAGGGGTTGCTGTTCTCTGGGTATCAGAAGGATGTTCCAGAAGCATCCCCAAAGGCATAAGTAATGTTGTGATTTGCTAGCATGCTTCCCATATCTTTTTGTTTTGTTTTCTCTTCAGTTGCTGGTAACAGTTGTGCAGCCTTGTCTGTGGCCATAGCCGGCTTCCTAGAAATACACAGAAAACTCACCTGGGAGGAGTCTTCTTCAGGCAAAGGTTCCTCTGTTTCCTTGCTAGCCTGTGGCTCTCTGGTTCCTCAGTATGTTCTGCTTGGAGTATCTGAGGCCCTGGTAAACCCAGCGGGTAAGTAAGGCTGTGAGTGAGTGCTTGAGAAGAGCATGCCCCAATGACCTGTATTCAAAGCAATGCTTCCACAAGCCTGTTTATACCCTTATTTAAAATAATGTCTTGATTTTCTTTGTTCTATTATCTGTAGCCAACATTAATTCTGTAGGAGAATGCAAGTAGGTAATCTCACACTAACTCAGAGTTGAGTATAATGAGGGGTTCTTTATTTAGGGGGAGCTCATAGACACAGTCCCCTGCACAAATGGGGAACAAGAACCAAATCCAGCATCCATGTAAGAGAGTAGAGAGAATTGGCACGTGAGTTCACACCTTTTTGGTACCCAAGGCCACACCCAACCCTGTCCAGCCTCTCAAAGGCCATTGGCTGAAGGAGATTCCCCATCACCCTCCACTTTTGTCTAAATAGAAGAGTTCCAAACCCAATACAAAACTATATATAATAAGAACAGATATCAAGTATAAAAAGTAGAATTATAACCAACATAAAAAATATTAAGCAAGAAACATATGCTAAGTGTTTTAATAATTATTCTGTCTTAAGGAGTCTTGTATTAGAAATGGCTTGGCTAAGTCATGAAAGGAAAATAACTACAACTATCTAGTCTTCAATCCTATTGAACCTGAGTAGGGAGATAATATTACTTGGGTATGAAGGAAGTACAAACAAGCAGCTTTCGAAATATGCATTAAATGAAAGAGGCAACTGGCTACTTGGACAATCACCCAATGTTTGCAATGTTGGGGCAACCAACTTTGACTGAGGCCTAGAGTAACTGACAGATCAGAGGCAGAAAAAATTTTAAAACCATCTTACCCTGTTTTGGCAAGGTTTGCTGGTCTTTTCCCTTGTATCCTGTTTGTCCAGTTCTGACACCACATATGTTGTCAGTGGTTGAGGCATGGGCAATTCTTTGGCCAAAGGCCAGTCTTGCCAAGAAGAAGGAAATCTCCAAGTGGAGTGTCTTTGGCGCTCAACATTCTCTTGGGAATAGATCAGTGCTGTCAGGAGCATTCGTGTCTCATGTAAACAAAACCCTAAGTTTAAATGCCATGTTCTACAGATCTTTGAAGTGTTTGAAGATTACATATCTATGCGAAAAACAATCTCTATGTATCTAAAGAACCTGATTAGTCTAATTATAAGTATGACAAACATGGATGACTATTGACCTATAATTCTTAATATCTATACAACTCAAAGACTAAGACTTCATATTAGAATATTAAACAACTTTTAGACAACTGTACAGCAAATGAGGGAAATGACCTCAAAATGTAAACAGTGTATAAGATCAGAGGTATAAATATATAGTGCAATATGATAAATATATCATAAAATTGTATCAATATACAAAATGTCTTAAGAAGAGGTATTCATGCATACAATATGATAAAATAAGTTCACATAGGTATTCAAATATTGTAAGTAGAAATAGGAGCATATTCAATATAAGAAATATAATTTGAATTTGTATCACTATACAAGAATCTATATCAATGCAAATTGTCTATAAATAATAGCTCACAAGTATTCACTCTATTACTCACTATTAATACTAATAGGTATTATTATATAATAATACCTACTATACCATTCAATTTCCCTTTATTTAAGTGATATCTTTGAGCCTACAACCTATACCACCCCAACCCTATACTGGTTATAACAAACCCCGAATTGATGTCCCTAACCTTGAGGACAAACTTTATTGGTAGAAGGGCTGCTGTCTTCTAGAATTACCTTCAGCTGTCATGAGGTCGATGTTTTTTCTATGGTATCCTGTAAAATTAAAATGATGGTTAAGTTTTAAGATTATTGCCTGGTATAATTGCAAACAATCTCTGAGTAATCCATTGAGTTTTTCTAAAGTTCTTAATTGAAGTACCTTGGGCAGCTACTCATTCCGCAACCTGTAGGAGAACGTGAATAAGATAATCCCACGCTAACACAAAATTGAGGATAATAAGGGGTTCTTTATTTAAGGGGGACTCACAGATCACAACCCTTTGCATGAAAAGGGAACAGGAACCAAATCCAACATCCAGGAGAGAGAGGAGAGAAGGAACAAGCACGTGAGCATGCACCTTTTTGGTGCCCAAGGCCAAGTTCAACCTGGTCCAGCCTTCAAAGGCCATTGGCTGAAGGAGATTTCCCAGCATGATTCTATTAGGATATAAAGGGACTCACGACCTGATTAGAACCAAGACCATTTGGTCAGACAAAAATGGGCAGACAGAAATAAATCTGGAAGACAACGAACTGCAGTACACTGAGTTAAAATCCATTCTCCAACTTCCCTCCCTCTAACACAAAGACACTCACACACACACTTCCAAAAGTGGAGCATGGACTTTGAGAGCACATAAACATGCAAATGAGATGAAAATTTGATGCAATTTACCTAATAACTTGATGTCTTCAAATTAAATTACCCTAGATTAAGTGTAATCACCAGTATTTCATAAGACATATTCAAATTATGTTTATTAAATATCAGAAGTTTCTAGATTATCTCAATTGCTTATATTGATTAGAATAGCCACTTTATACTTTATCACAAGAATTTGAGAACTTCCTGTGATGTTGTCAGTGTGTTTGTGTGTATACACACTTATCAGAGTAACCTAGCAAGCCTATGTTGGGTTTTGACCTCCTCACAGCTCCCTGGAATGCGATAGCTACATGTAACTCAATCCACATTACACTTCACTGAGAGTATTTTACATGATTAACTAAAGAAAATAGATTGCTAGCTAATTTCCATGTATGAGTATTTTGCCCATGTGTATTGTGCATGCATTGCCTTCAGGGCCAGAGGGTATCTGATTCACTAGAACTGGAGCTGCAAATGACTGTGAGCCACACTGTGGGTGTGGGAATCTAACCTAGGTCTCCTAGAAAAACAGCTAGAGCTCTGAACCGTTGACCACCTCTCTAGTCCCTTTAACTGTCTCCACATATCCGGTGTCTCCTGTTTTCCACCACCTCTGCATAATCATCTTAAGCGAAAATTCCAATCATTTCACTTGTATCTAAAACCTCCAATGAGTCTATTACAGTCTGAGTTATTTCAAACTTTTTATGTACATACTTAATAGCTTTATGCCCACACACAATGTGCACATAGACAAAACCAGAGCAATTAATTTAAATAAATGAAATAAATGAATGAAATTTGTCTAATCATAGTCTCAAACATATTCACAATTCTTCTCATTCTGTTAAAACGTTTAATTCACATGTTCCATTTGAATTGAGTCTGTGATGGGAAGGTCATTGTAAGCCCAGCAAAGAATAAATAAGAATTGTGAACAAATGCTGCCACATTGGCATTTGTCATCAGCCCAATATTGTTTGTAGGAAGGTCTTGAAAATAGGTAAAATTCTCTGGGCTTCCTGTAAAAGAATGAGTACGTGTGGAAAATTCCTAGCCTGCTCAGCAAAGTGATTAGACATTTAGAAGCCAAAGAGATCATTAAAACCATGAATTATTAAAAAATGATGAATCATGTAATGTAATCCCTAATTTAAACATTTAGAATAGCTATCACAAAACCGAGTTTACCTGTTTACTATAGATAGGGTTTGTGCATCAGAGACCACAGACTTTGGTCTCATGTCCAGTCTTCTACCTGCTACATGAGGGACTCATTTAATCTCTAAGTTTAAACTTTCTAATCTTAAAAAATAGAAGGAATAATCATTATTCCTTATATCACAGCATTGGAGTGAATGGGAATGGGACAGCATTCTTCAAAAACCAACTTGTATAAAGTGTGAATGGGTTTGTTGATTTGTAAAATCAAGTAATGCCAGACAGGCGGGGTAGCATGGCCATTCAACTTTCTGATCTTAAACCTGGACTGGCCTGAATGTAGCACAAATTCTAATTGTTCTTAATAACAAAGTCCCAGAGACAGATATTAGGAGGTGAAAGCTGAGAGATCAGAGAAGCAGAGCAGTCAGTCACTAGAGACACTTTGCCTCTACCGAATCCTCAAACCAAATGGGCAATCCTGTCCTCAGAATGTCTCCTCCAACTGCAACTGTCTCCACCAAACCTCAGACTGCACTGAGCTCCCATCTCCTTCCATCTTATATTCCTCTCTCTGCCCAGCCACATCACTCCTGTCTCCACCTCCCTACTGCTGGGATTAAAGGCGTGGGATCTCAAGTGCTGGGATCACCTTTGTGTGAGCTCTGTTTCTCTTTTAGACAGATTCAATCTTGTGTACACCAGGGTGGCCTTGAACTCACAGAGATCCCTCTGCCTCTGTCTCACAAGTCCTGGGATTAGAGGTATGTGCCACCACTCCCTGACCTCTAGTGGCTTAGCTCTGCACTCTGTTCTTCAGGCAAGCTTTATTTGTTAAAACACAAAGAAAATATCACTGCACCTGAGTTCAGACCCTGTTCTGCTACTTACTACCTGGCAATGCTGGACTTTTCTCATCATCTAGAGGAGTTAGCCCAAGAACCCAGGGAAGTATTCTATGTAAAGCAAAACATTGAGTGTTTTGTACATCAACAACATTTTGCAATCAGCAACATCACGTGAGTTTATTTTCCTCGCTGCTGTTTGTGTGAAATTAGTAGTGCCATCCTCAGGACTCAACACAGCTCTTTGTGTCACAAACAAATTAAACACCTAATGATGTGAGCAGAACTGCCTTTCTTCCACAAGCCACCCTGGACCCCTCTCTATCCTTTTCTTCCATGATGCCTACAACCCAATAGCAAGAATTAGAATGTTCGGAAATATGACCTAGCTTTGGCCACACCTGTTTCATCCAGACTTCTGAACTTATACCTCCTCCTTCTCCTACCACATTAGTCCATTCTCTCTCTCCCTTTTAAATTATTCTTATTTTATTTTATGTGTACGATTGTCCACCTTCATGTACATCTGGGCATCAGACTGTGTGCCCAGTGTCTCCAGAAGCCATAAGATCCATCTGATCCATCTCTTCTGTGTCAAGTCCATGCTCCTGAG